CAAAACCCCATGCCACAAGCCCTGTGGCCTTCTCCAGCTCTTGGGCAGCCATCGCTGTAGACCTTATTGTAGAATTACCAGAGTCCAAAAAATTTATAACAGTTTTGATTGGTGGTGGTCCACTTTTCCAAAATGGCCCACTGTGATGCTGGTAAACCAGCACTGACAAATTCATAGTTGGAAACCAGATCAGTTCACCTATATGTTAATATTGTTCAAGATAGTTGCTAGACTTGTAAGGATGTGTTTAGTGTTCCAGTGGTTCTCAACCTGTGGCCCAATCAGCACACAGCTGCAGCCCATGTGACATCCTCAAGGCCATACAGGTAGTATTGGATGTTGCCCATGAGGCCCACAATGGTAAATAGGTTGAGAGCCACTGGTTTCTATTCTATAAAATACTTGTAAGTTGCTGCATGCATCAATCTTACTTGTAATATCTGTATTCCATTGCAGACGGTAAAATATAAGTTTGTTTTATAATAGCAAACATCCCTGCTCTGAACTTGTGATCTTAGATGGGAAAAGTGGCTCTCCCTGCCCATCCAGGAGGACTATTAAAATTAAATGGGTCATCATAGGACAATTGCCCCATTCACCCATGGAGAAGTATGTGCAGAAGGCCTCATTACATTAGTTTTAATGCTGGAAGAGGAAAATAAAAATAGCTAACATGAAGATTTGTTGTCTCTCTGCTGTCTGGACTCTTACAGAGGCTGGAGCTAAGAAACAAAAAGCAGCGATCCCTAGGGTCTGTCTGGGTTAAGCCCTAAAAGGACATTTAATGCTGACAGATTACTACATCTCTGTCACCTTTTGAATCAGCTGAAATTCATTGTGTATATGTCACTTGCTTTAACCTATACATAACTCTCACTTCTTTCTTCTAGTTAATAAAACCTTTAGTTAGTTTATTACAGGATTGGCTACAGGGGTTGTCTTTGGTGTGAGATCTAAGGTACAAATTGATCTGGGGGCAGTGACTGGTCTCTTGGGACTGGGAGCAACCAGAATATTTAGTGATTTTATTTTTGTGTGTGTAAGTGACCACTTATCACTAAGTCCAGCTTGCCTGGGTGGCAAGATAGACTGGAGAGCCCCAGGGGACTGTGTGTGACTCCATGGTAAGACTGTTACAGTGATCTAGGAGTTCATATTTGTTACTAGGTTGGTGAAATCTAACTGTAGAACATATCACCAGTTTGGGGTGTCTGCCCTGCTTGTGACAGTCTGTCCTGATGTTGGCAGTCTTGGTCATGAGCCACTCCAGAGAGCAAGACACCCACTTCATCCCTTGCACAGGCCTCCTCTCCGCTGAAGAAACAGCCCAGCTATGGATTAGCCATGTAGTCCACCTCCACAACCTTCTGGAGCACATCACCTCCGATCAGGGTTCTTAGTTCATGGCCTGGTTCTGCACCTGCTGGGGGTCCACACATGTCTATCCTCTGCTTACCATCCCCAGTCCAAGAGTCAAATGGAAAGGGCCAACCAAATCATCAAGCAGTATCTGCGATGCTTCCTCAATAATCACCAGGACGATTGGTCTTCACTTCTCCCTTACGAGGAGTTTGCATACAACAACATAGACTATGCGTTTATGGGTCAAAGTCCCGTTTTTGCCAACTATGGGTACCACCCTATATCCCACCCACAATTACCCACATCCTCTCTCGACCTGGCTGCCTCAGACCTAATACAGCAGATTCATCAGGCCCAGGAAGAAGTGAAGGATCACTTAGAAATAGCAAACTCAGACTATAAATGACAGGTGGACCAGCATTGACAGCAAGCCCCTATTTACTCAGTGAGACAAAAGGTATGGCTTTCCACAGAACATCTCCACACAGGCAGACCTGCTCACAAGATGGAGTTTTGATTTCTTGGTCCTTTTAAAATTCTGCAGAAGGTTAATCCAGTCATGTCTGAACTACAACTCCCCCACGCTCTGAAGGGTCACCTGGTAATTCATGCATCACTTTTGAAACACTACACAGAAATCCTTTTTCCTCACAGGACCCAGCCACCTCTGCCACTGGTACAGGTCCAGGGTCACAAGGAATATGTGGTCCATGAAATCCTGGACTCTAAACATAAACATGGCAGGCTCTGGTATCTTGTTGACTGGGACGGGTATGGTCCTGAGGAGCGCATCTGGGAACCTGTGGAAAATATACATGCCCCCACACTTATTAAAGCATTCCATAGCCATCCCCCTAAAAAACCTGGTCCTACATTGCCCTGAGGGCACCACTTGGGGAAGGGGATGATGAACCCTGGTCCACAGGGCTCTTAGGAGCTAGGAAGTTCCAACCTGGCATCTAGTGACCTACTAACAGTTGCCAGAATAGAAGCTGAACCCCGATAGAGGACTCCAGTCCTGGAACCAGATTGGCAGAATGCTGGGGGTCCTGATCGGTTCACAGCTTATATATGAACTCAGCACAGGAATAGGAAGTTGTCCATACAACTGGGTTCTCCCTGCATTGGACTGCTTCCCTTGCAATACCTGCTCCTACTGCCTGCTGCTGATCTCATGGTAACCTCATCCTGCCTGCCTCCTGACACCTGACTCTTGGTTTGCCCTCTGGCCTGTCTTGAACTCTGACCCAGCCTGCCTTCTGCTGTGACCACTAGGTCAGACTGCCCACATCCTGGTCATGACACAGGCCCATTCTGTGCACTGAAAGTATCAGGGCCCTGTTGCCCCACCCCTTTCTGTCCCTTCCCTGGGACATGCCCCTGTTCCACCCAGGGTCCCCCAATTCTTCCCCCCCACTGTGGTCCCCAACCCGTTTGCTCCTTTCTCCCCCCCCACTGCAGCTCCAAGACTGGAGAAGCTCTGTCCCTGTGCTACGGCCCTGAGGCCACAGCGAGGAGTGAGTGCTCCTCCAGTCCCAGGGATGCAGCAGGGGTCCGGGTGCTGAGGCTTCCCCCGCCACCCCCGTGCTTCTGCAGGGGACCAGCGTTGGGGTGTTGGGGCTTGCCCTGCCTGCCCCACGCTTCTGCTGGAGAGTGGGGTCAGGCGTGGGGGTTTCCCTGTCACCCCGCGGCTTCTGCCAGGGATGGGGCTGGAGGTGCTGGGGGCTTCCTCTGCCGCCCCATGGCTTCTGCCGGGGATGGGGCTGGTGGCACCTGTGGGGCTTAGCAGTGGAGCAGAATTCAAAAGGCACAGGCTGTACTTCCAGTCTACGGCTGCCCCAGTATGTGTCCTGTGCCCTAGTCTGCAGTGTAGGCAGCACAGAACTGGTGGAACCAGCTCTGCATCTGGGCACTGGGAGCATTCACTTGGGACTGTCAAGCCTGCCCTATGGTCCCTTTGCCTAGAGCAATACTGAATCTGGCCCTAATAATCTTTCTATATGTCCTATTTGAAGGGTGGAAACACCATCTTACACTTTTTAGTACATATGGGGAAAGCATAAGCAAAGATTGTGGTTTAGATCAGTTTGCAAAATGTGCTTTCACACTTACAAAAGCTAACTTACCAGACCACAGAACCTGATACCACAGCCTCTGCCTGCTCTTCTCCATCTTCTTAAAAGAGGAGATAGCTGTGGTATCTTAGGTACTATGGTGTGGTCAATACTGGTGCATAAAGTGTTTTCAGTTGTGACTGCGGTACTGCACTTGGATTGTGCAGCATGAATCTAATGCAGTGCTCTTTGTGTAAGAACAAGTCATTTTACTCTGAATGGATGAGCTAGCTAATCAGATGTGGATAAGCTGTTTCTGTTACAGCTGTTTTATTCAAGTATGCCCAGTATTTTTCGTTATGGATTAGACAGTCTAATTTAGTGGGCAAATAATGTAAATTATATCAGGCAAACCCAGTGTGCTCACAACTTTTCTTTGCAATCAACATGTCGAGGTTTACAAAGAAATCAAGACCCAAAAGAAATAGCTTCAAGTTAAAAGCAACCCACACCAAAGACTGCAAAGGAAATGCAGCAGCTCTATCTTTAACTTGACCCCAGAACTTATGCAAAACCTTACAAACAAGTTTAGTTTGCATCCCTTGAGATACACTTGGGTTCACCTGAAACCTTAAAAGCAAAGCAAACATTGGCATGGTTTGTCAGGTGTTCAAACACAAACTTCACCCTGCACCTCTTTTCCACAAATCTGTCCCAACAGATGTACTCTCCTTCTTCCATACCCTGACCTTCAGTTGTCTTCTGGGTGATGAGGCCAGCTGGCCTTTAACTGCTCTTCTCTCCACTGTTTTTAGGGGGGCATTTCCTAGCTTTTCAGGTGTGCTGTTAAGTACCTGCACAGTGCTCATCACAGTGGTATCAGAGAGCCAGCTGGTCGCTCCTTCAACCCAATTCATTGAGGGAGCTGCCATGTAAGTCTGCTCCCTACAAATCCATTCTCTGGCACTTTCTCACTGTGAGATGAGGGAGTCTCTAATACTTAGGTACATTCTAGCATTTCTCAGACATACGTAAAGGGCTAGTCAAGTGGAAGTCAACCATGTCCTGGCAAGACAGCAGCAGATGGATGTGGTGGTGGGAACAATGATTACTCTCCATTCTAAGGTTCAGGAGAATACCTGCTGACCACCACTGAGAATCTGGGAGGGGGAGTGGGCTAACCAGTTGCTTGTTGAAGACACTGGTGTGGGGTATAGAGCCACTAAGCCATTACCCCTAGAAGAGAACTGGAAAGAAGGAAGGTGAAACTATGACCTGCTTATGGAAGGGAATCCAGACCTGAAAGTCACCTAAGATTCACCAGAGGTTCAGCAAACCTCAGTGATTTTCAGGTTCCTAATGAAAGCTATAAACAGGCAAATTTAAGAATTGAGTGGTAATTATGGGCTCACTTCAGCAGGAATATGAAAGCCACAAAGTTTTGTATCTCAGGTCTGCAAGCAGTAGAACTAATTAGGTCCAGAGCAGAGAGGCTGTTTTATTCCTGTTGTTCAAGGTGGTGACAGCTGCATATTAATTAGGTTTCCTCCCTATGATAGCTTGTTTCTGGTTCTGAAACCACTGCCCATACAGGGCATCAGAAAGAAGAGCTTGTAAGGTGAAATATTATTGTAGCTAAAGGCAATTCCAGTCTACAGCCACAATTGACCTGCTGGTTCCATAGGCTGGCGGGCCAAACTCACTGAATATATCTTTATTTTAAACAAGAATTGAGGAACATACATGGATCCAATTTTGATCCTTTTACTCTGTATGAGAATAGAACCAGAATAATTATTAGGTATATGAGACCTGATTATTGAGTACACTGTTCTGCTCCTTTTGAAATCAGTGGTAGAAATCCCATTGACTTCAGTGTGGCAGAATCAGGTGTCAATGACTACCATGCTGGTTGGGATCCCGTTTGGAACTGCTGAGTTGGCAGGCTTAACCTCTCCTCGTGCATGCTGGCTCCTCTTCTGTCAGCTTCTGTGTTCTTTGGTGAAATTTAGCCTTGTGCAGAGGCCCAGCAGGCCCTTATGGCTTATGTACCACATAGTGTAGGAAAGAGAGAGAAAATGAGGGACATTTGGATGAAGAAACAATGGTCTGCTTTAGAGAATTGCACCATTTTAAGGTTAAACAGTATTTCTGAGGTCAAAATGCTTTGTTTTAATGAGGTTTATTGTAAACAAAGTTTGAAAGTTTTGTACGGTAACAAGTTTATACTTAAAGTTCTTTAAAAAAAAAAGAAAACTTTGTTAAAAGTCAGCTGCTGGATGGTCCCTCAAGGTATGTCTACATTGCAGCTGGGAGCGAGTCTCTCAGGGTGGGTAGACAGACTTGCACTAATGGGGCTGAAACTAGTGGGCTAAAAATAACACCATGGGCATTCTGTCTGGGGCGGAAGCTTGGGTTCTCAAGCCCGCCCAGCTCTCTACACTTTAGAGCCTGAGCTGGAATGTCCACATTGCTATTTTTAGCACAGTAACTCAAGCCCCACTAGCTCGTTCCCACCTGCAGTGTAGACATTTTGTTAAGGACCAGGGCCAGCAGTCAGAGTTCTGAACAGCCCTGAGACTGCTGACTCCATTCAGCCCTGGGATTGAAGCGCTACAGACAGTTTCTGGTCCCCAAATAAGCCTCATGGAACTGGGTACAATTGGGGATTGAGGCTAGAGTTACTTTATTTAATAAAGTGTTATTAGACACAGAGGATATGCCTGCATTGCGATTAAAAAATACCCTGTAGCACTGAGTCTCAGAGCCCAGGTCAGCTAACTCAAGCTCCAGGGCTAAAAATTGCAGTGTAGACATTCCGGCTCAGACTGGAGCCTGGGCTCCAAGACCCCACAAAAGGGGAGGGTCTCAGAGCCCAGGCTCTAGCCTGAGCGTCTACATTGCAATTGTATAGAACCGCAGCCTGATCCTCATGAGCCCAAGTTAGCTGGGCTGGGCCAGCTGGGGCCATGCTACAGGCCTTTTATTGCAGTGTAGGCATACCCAAAGGCCCCAGTCCTCAAAGTTACTTAAGCTCCTAACTCTCATTCAGTGCCTAAATATCTTTGGGGATCTGGGCCTAAAACGCTCTGATGTGAACAGGCACAGCATGCAGAATCAATCAGGAAACTAGCTAAGTGATAAAGTGATTGATTTGAAATATTTTATATCAGTGTAAAAACATATAGAGGGTAATTAACAAAGTGTTGAACTCTA